CCTTTGGGTCGGTAAAGGGGTATTGTACGGTCTCAAACCCTAAATCATACACTTTTTCACCCCATATAACTTCTAACCCTAATCCTCGAATTCGGAACCCTAAACGCTTCGTGTATACTGTTTTAGCTTGTGTTTTATACGGATCCAGGAGCCTGACATGGAACCAAGCGCTTCTCCAGCAACGTAGAGCCTGCAGGGTTTCCGTGCATGTTGCAAGAACTTTCTATACCGTTTAGCTTGTGTTCTTTACCGAGTACTCCTGCAACATGCTTTGGTATACAAGCCCATTGGGTCGGTAAAGGGGCATTGTACGGTCCTAAACCCAAAGCCATACACTTTTAACCCCATGTAACCCCTAACCCTAATCCTTGAACCCGGAGAAACCCTACCTCACAGGTACCCCACCGCCATCATCACTCCAAAGTTGCAGCGAATATACCCCAGCTGTAATCCTACAAATTGGCATGTATGGGGGTAATACATAGGGTTAAAGGTGCGACAGAACCTTCTACAATGCTTATACCCTAAAAGGTTTGTCTGCTGTCCCGAGTGACCGGCATCGGTCGCCCGCTTGAGTGCCATCCTGTCGGGGCTAGTCAATCCGACCAATGAGTCATTACAGGGCCTTAGATTTCGACTTCCCATAGCCACCGTCCTGTTGTCAAAATCAACCATGGGTTTACAGCTTTAAAGCGCAAGGGCTTCGGCATGAGGGCTTCGGTTCAAGAATTAGGGGTTTTGGGCTGACAGCGTAAGGTTTAGGGCGTAGGGTCTATGGTTTAGGGTCAAAGGATTTAGGGCTGAGGGCTCAGGGCTCATATGGTTCGAGTTCACGAATCCCCTACAAAGTAGAAGTCCTGGCTCAAATCAGTTGGGCCCAACTCTAACCCGTATGTGGGATTCTGATGAGTAATAGGGGCCCCTGAAACTATAGACCCCAACATTCTATAATCCCGCGTATGGGGACCTCCAAAAAAGGGACACCGAGTTTTTGGAAGCCCTATCCCCACATGTCCCATAGATGCGTGCATATGTGTACATGTGATGTGCCCAAATACAATCCTAGATAGTGCTATCTATACCTCTACCCCTGTATTTCCCCATATATCTTTCTGTAGACTCCCAGAAGTATATCCCCATTTAACCCCAGATTCTGAAGATCTGAAGCCCTAAGCCTTTAAAGTGCACTTTTACATACAGCCCGAAACCAAGGTGAAAGAAGACAGAATCTGTTTCTCAGGGCATCCAGTGGTCTCTTGCGGACGCCAACAGGTGTAGAAGCTCTCGCATTTCAGATGCGAGCACGCGAGCTTTTGACTGCAAGGCCTTTCCACTTGCTGGCAGGAATTTTCAGACGATAAGCCAGGCCAGCAGCCTCCAGAGTGAGGATCAGCTCCGCGCAGGCGTTCTAGATCGGCCCCGAGCGTTCTCCTAACAAGAATGTGCCCCTGAATAAAATAGTTGTTCTTCGAGGTCACAAGTAGGACTACTAAAGAGCCAAAGTACATTTACAGAGAAGTCCCAAATACAACCAAGTGTCGGCAGCAGCAAGCGCAGGATTCATGAGTCTCTGAAGACGTTCGACTTCGAGCTGATCAGGGCCAGATTTCAGAGGAAGGAGTGTAGGGAAAGTAAACATGTTTGCAACAAAAAGCATGAGTCTAAACCCAAACATTAGCCCTAAACCTTATACACCTTACTGGAGTGGCTGCCTGGAGCGCGATGGATCGAGCCTTCTCCTCCACCCAGCCTGCATTAAGCCGCTGGACTTCATTCTTCAGCGCATTCTGCTCGAGCATGGCTTCATCCTGGCTGGACTTCAGATCTGCCTTGAGAGAGGCGCAGTAGATGAGTTCTGTAGAAAGCTGTCTGCTGAAATCGTTCTTCTCGTCCGCGAGGATCTTGTTTTTCCGTTCCAAACACACAATTTGCGCTTGCGCTCGGAAAATCTCCTGCCCCCGTTCATTGAAAAGCACCTGTGTGCTCGCTAACTTCATAAGCGCGTCCTGCCGCTCGCGATTGCGAGCGGCACTGCGCTGCTGCTCCTCCCTGAGCGCCGCCTCCGCCATGGCGCGGCGCTGCTCTTCCTCACAGAGCGCCATGGCATTTCTCTCTGCCCGTGCCTCTGCTACATGCTGCCGCCTGATGGCCTCGCCAGCGCGCTGGTCATCGCGACGCGCGCGGCTGGTCGCCATCACGACTTGTCCTTTCCCCTTTAAGTGAGAAGGTTCGTGAAAACTTTCCAACGCAACGTCCAGAAGAAGCGCAGAATATGTCACCAGATCGCTCGATGGGTAGGAGCCACGATTGTGCAAAGGAGCCGTGTGCGCAAAGGGCAGTGACGGCTTGGCCAAGAAATGTCGAATAAACGCCAGCCAGAATACGCGGGAAGCTGAAGACCAATGTTTGCACGCTGCTCAGCTCCGAAAACAGCTGGGCCAGTTACCAAACACCAATGCTTGCACGATGCTGTAGTGATATTTAGCTCGGCCCCGGAGGCAGCGAGCGAATCTGAAAGGTCGGCCAAGAACGCAGCGAGCCAATGTGGAGCTATGGCGTGCGCACTCAGAACGAAGTCCCTGAAGCCCTGCACTGCTTAAACAGTGGTAGACGAATCTCCGGTAACTATAAAAACATTTAAAAAACTTCTGCAAGAGGACCTGACAACCCCCTGCAAAGGCTATCTACGACTGCATCCCAATGTCATAACTACACTCCTGGTCTGTCTGAAACTTCCCCAGAACAGTCTGGATACTTGTGAGACTCTCAATTGCATTATCAAATCCCAGGGATCCTGAACAGACGAACCACTTCATGCGACACAACACATATCAGCAACCCGTCTGAGCCAACGCATATCATGCAGGTAGGGTTTCCTGAGTTGCCAAACCCTAAACCTGACGATCCCAAAACAGGAAGCACATCCCGGGTCCAGGTAGGGTAAGGTCAAGGGTCATGGACACAAGAATTCTTTGAATGCTTTGGGAGTTGTCTTTCAAGAGTTCGAGGGTCGGGGTAGTGCTGGTTTATGTTTACACCCAAGGAAACAGTGCATGTACTGATCCCCGGAATGTTCTCTGTAATTAAGTTAACCGAGTGCCCGAGGATCTGATTGCACACAATAGGCCAAAACCGCCTGGATCCTCAACCCCACCACCCAAAGCCCAAACCTTGCCCAAGAGAGAGCCCAACAGGAATGCGACACTCAGGTAAAATCAGGCAAGGCAGACCGGAAAAGAGAACATGTTCAGAATGTGGCCAGAAGAAGCGTCGGGCCTGAGCGGTGCGAGCATGTTTATCTTCAGCGGGTGGGGTGATTCTTCTGAAATCGAGGGTTCAGAGCTTGGGGGTTTACGTGTTTAGGGTTTGGGGGCTGCAGTTTTCGGGTTTGGGGCTTGCGGTTAGGGTTCAGGTTCATGGGAAAGTACCTGCCCACCCCCACAACAACTTTCAAGAATCAGATGGAAAATCATTGGCAGATGAAATGGAGACTGGGGCATTTGGCCCAAATCCGGCAAACATGAGTGGCCTGACTACTTGATTTTCTAGAATGCCTGATGCACTCAAACCAGATCTCTGACTTCAAAATTCGCTTGACAGTGTCGGTCTTGGGGGAATGATGGTCCGCTGCAAGGCCCAAACCCGGAAATCATCTGATGCGGGCAGAAACGAAAACCAAAATTTGCCTCACGTAATTCACTCAAAACTCCTGACGTGAACCCTGTGCAATGTCTATAAGCCCTTTAAAGGCCAAAACCAGCCACTTCCCAATTTGAGACGGCTGTGACGAAACCAAAGCTTGCTGCTGTGAGGCAGTGAGTGAGAGCTGAGGACGTCTGACGACGAGCGTGACAAAGCTTAAGCTCGCTGCTGTGAGGCAATGCGTGAGAGCTGACGACTCAAATACTCTTCCCGCATGCTGCTGAATATTGGTTTGACATCCCGGGGTCTAATTTCAAGATCTACAGGTACCGCAAAAGTGTGCATAAAACCTGTACAAAGTCCAACGCCATTTCGAAACAAAAAGAAAATTTCAAAACCCGCTGCACTCGCAAAACAATCCTTAGCATACCCTATTGACTTTTTAACGCTTCGAATCTAAAGCAGCATCTACCGAAATTCGTAGGAAAAACCGACCCAGATCAAACGCAATGTCAAAAATGAGGAAAGCATAAATTTGAGATATATTCGAAATTACAAAGACAAAAGCTCCTACCATTTTTCGCCCTTCGCAATATTCTACAGCAAAAATGTAAGAAGACCTGTACGGAATCAAACGAAAATCTCACAAACAAGAACATAAATCATAAAACACGCTATGCCCGAAACCATATAACAAAAAAAACCTACTATATCCTATGGACTTTTTAACCCATTGTATCATTTTTAAAACTACCGCAAACATGTAGGAAAAACCTGTAGAAAATCGAACGATTCAAAAAACACGCACAAAGTTATAAGACCGTATCTCAAT